ATTCACCAGACTACTTCACAGAAAACCACAGAGCTCTGTTTCCCTCACTAAAGAGAACAAACGGCCTTCCTGCATCACAGTACGGCCTTCATACAGCAACACAGACACATAATGCGCTGTTGTGTCCCACAATTTTGTGTCAACAATTTAAAATTCCTGCAACCAATGCAAAACCTGCACCAATGAGCCTTCATCAAATTTAGCCTTTGTGCACTTAAGCTGTTGGTTCATCCAGTTCCAGGATGCATTTAGTATCCGTCAGATCGGTTCGGAATTATGTGTTATTATGAGTGTGCATGTTGCCAATAAAACTTGACATGGTGATAATTAGATCTCCAGAAATAGCATTGCCTTCCTGATGACGAGCATGAAAGTCATCGCGGCAGATTTTGGGGTGTGGTCGTGGGGGGGTTTTCCCCCCATGTTTCCATCAACATGACACCAGCCTCAACCTGCATCAGACTCTTCCTATGGTGCGACCACACTGCTTCTAGTTAGCAGTAGTCTATAATTAATCATAATCCACTGTACTGTATGCCAGTGTTTCTTACAGGATCCTGTTTTGTGTACGGTTACTATGGTTCCATCATGTCACTCGCGCTACAGTATGACTAGTGGTGGCAGGTATGACCAGTATGATATTACCGTATATATAATACAGTAAGGTTTTTTTTGCTTGAAATCCAACACAAAAATGTTTTCTGTATGACGCTATATATTAAAAAAAAATAATAATAATTGAGATAAATAAATACTTTATTTTACTTTTTAAAATCTTTTTTATTTGACCAAAATATTAGATTAGATTAGATTAGATTGATCGATTGATTTTCTCGTCTTTTTTAATCTTTTTTTTTTTGTTTGCCGAAATATTAGATTTGATTGAGTGATTATTTATTTATTTAACATTTGAATTGAATATATTTTAAAATTGTAATTATTTTTAATTTACGTTCGCTTTTTAAAAATTCTTTATTTGTCCAAAATATCAAATTATTCATAAGAAATGAATGATAAGTCTGACAGCAGTGCAAAAACAGCTTCAAATTATGAAACATTTGAATTAAAATAAAAGACTCAAAGCTGTCAAACATTATAAACCTGATTGGATAAGCTCTGATCGATATATAGTTTGATTCAGACTGATTTATGAACCTTTTTAATAATAATAATTGAATGAATTCATTGAATTGAATTCAATGAGCTTCTCAAAGTGCGTTACATAGTAAATCACAACTATCACAATCATAACACAACTAGTAAAAATACATATAAACAAACAGTAAATAAGCATACATATCACAATCAACTAAAAGCAAACCAAAATAATGTTTCAGCTAAGATACCAAGTAACTTATTTTTGACAGATTCTTTCCACAAATGTCATTCTTTACTAATCAGACATAATTTATTGTTTAAGATGTACATTTTTATTGTCCAGTCTTTATATGCGGTGTCAGACATGCATTTATGCAACAAAATGTGTCTAAAATGTGATTTTATTATCAGATGAGTGCAGACATAATGATTGTAAAGGCCATGTTTTGTTCTTATTTTTATCGGAGTGTTGTTCAGTAGGTTATAGTAGGTTAGTAGGGAGTTCTTGGTTATACAAGAAAGAAAAACTGACATACACAGCGATTCTCTCAAGCTTTATTTCCTTGTTTATTATGAACCACATAATGTGTTGCTTTGCATAAAGAAATGCTTTGACGTAATACGCCACCACAGAGGCTTCATATTTCTCCTGATATTATAGTATCAATGCCGTATGGTAAAGGCTTCAGGTTCATATTCAAATCAGCCACAAACAAACCCGGCCGATGGCTATTGCTTTCATAAAAGAGCCCCTGATCTATCATTTGTTTTTCAAATGAGAACATCTCCCCTGGCCACATGAAAGCCTCGTGTTATGCTTGCATGGGGGCCGATATCTCCATATGAATGCTGGCGTATTGTTCCAGACATGAACATTTTATTTTCAGATCTCCGTTCTCTTCTCCAGTTTGCAAGTGTCATCAAAGACGCCCACTTCTGATTAGCCTTTGATTGGAGAATGGAAGTGGACGTTACCTGGGCCCTGTTTATCAGCATGTCAATATTTACACTCAAACAAGAGTTGGTTTTACAGTCTGAGAAGTTTAACTACTTCCTCTTTTTGACTGTCATGGATTTGAAATGAATTTGACACGTTTTCATGAACATCACATCAACCAGGCTGTGCTTTGGTATAGTGGCAGTTTTTCAGTGGCCAGGCCAGTAGCCTTATCAAATAAATCATTGGGCATTAAATATTTATTTGATCTAAAAATATTTTATTATTTGAGAAGATAACTATTTCAACCAAGATTTTTGAATATAATTTATGTATATTATGTATAAAATCCAGTTTAATCCATTTAATGCTTTTTTTTGTTTGTTTATTTGCTTACTTTTAATTGTACATATTTTTATCAATTTTATTTGATTAATTCATTTTAATTTTATTTATTTATTGCATTTGTTATGTAAGACTTTAAAGATGAGAAGTATTGTTTAGCCTGGCAAATATTTGTGATTCTAAAAAGTTAATCTTCCCTTAGGGTGAAAAAAAAAAAACATTTTGAGGTGACATTTAATCACAAATGAGAAGAAAAAAAACATTTAGCAAATAAATGAGCATTAAATATTTATTAAATCTAAAATTATTTGATTATTTCAGAAGATTTTTTTTTTTTTTTTTTAGAAATTATCCCCAAAAATGTTTCTGGGTTGAATTTCTGAATTTTGTTGAAAATGAAAATTTTATTGCATATGTTTTGAAAATCCAGTTTAATCCTTGTAAGACTTGATTTATTTACTTTTAATTGTACATATTTTATTTTTTAGCTATTTTATTCATTTATTTAATTTTTTTTAATTGTGACCCTGGAGCACAAAAGCAGTCTTAAGTCGCTGGGGTATATTTGCAGCAATAGCCAAAAATACATTGTATGGGTCAAAATTATCCATTTTTCCTTTATGCCAAAAATCATTAGGATATTAAGTAAAGATCATGTTCCATGAAGATATTTTGTAAATTTCCTACCGTAAATATATCAAAACTTAATTTTTGATTAGTAATATGCATTTGGACAACTTTAAAGGCAATTTTCTCTGTATTTGGATTTTTTTGCACCTTCAGATTCCAGATATTCAAATAGTTGTATCTCTACCAAATATTGTCCTATCCTAACAAACCATACATCAATGTAACGCTTTTATTTCAAAAAATTGACTCTTATGACTGGTTTTGTGGTCCAAGGTCACAATTTAGTTTATTGTATTTTAATATTTGAAAGAAGTATTAATTAAATATATAAAAATATTACATTTTTTATGTTATCATTGAAACACTGCTATGCAATTTTGACTCAGAGTGCATGAAAAAAAATATTTGAAAACAGAAATTGTTTATTATCCCTCAACATTGCAGTTAACGTTGATGTTAGAAATGACGCGAGAGGAAGCTCCTGCTTCTGATATATGCAAAATATCATCCGAATTATATCTGTCTATCAATACTTGATGAGATATTGTCGACAGATACACCACACAGGAGCCGGTCTCCTGCTCTCATGAGTCATCGGAGAACACTGCCGCTCTGCCGTATGATTTTACCAGGTACAAGGTGAGCTGTGAAAACACAGTCGTTCTCCAAGGCCTGCATCCTCCATCAGCGGATGACGGCGCTCCTGCCCCCATCTCTCCCTCTCAGTAATGAGCCGTGATTGGCTGTGTGGAGGGGCACGAGCAGCACCGATTATAGGAGCAGTCCCATATTTGGAAGGTGTTGAGCAGCCCAGCATCTTTCTCACGGCTCAGAAGAGCACAGCCAAGCCATGTCTGCCAGCCTCCGCACCTCCATCGCACCTCCACCTGATCCCCAGATGCAGTTTTTAGACTGAGCCCACAGAAGCATTTGCGTGGCATTGTCTGAAGGATTTAGGAGTGGTTCGTTTCTTGCTTTTGCGTGTTTTGGAGCTTTAACAAAGATGCCTGAAGCAAATTATTTACGCTCGGTCTCATGGGGATATATAAAGGTATGGCATCATGGTTTCTCTGAAGCTGATTTTATGTATCTGTAGTCTTGGATGTACGGGGATCCTTATTTAGTAGCTGAGAAGTAACAATCAATTTGGGCCTCTATGCATTTACTTATCTTTCATTCATTGAGGGTTTTGTGTCGTCATGAATTGATATATTCAAATAATGTGTGGTACACCACATCTAAATTATATGCAAATTAGCAGAGATGAATATTTTATAGTTTGGTGTGAGAAAACCCTTTCTGGAGTTTATTTGATCAGGTTTGAAGGCTTTAGGTTGATCTCTTCTAAACTGCCATATACAGATATTTTCAGTGTTAATGGTGTGTTGTTGTAAATCAGTGCATTTGTTATGTAAGACAGTAAAGATGAAAAGTATTTTTAGGGCTGGCAAATATATGTGATTAAACGATTCATCCTCCTTTAGAGTAAATCCGTCAAAAACATACTGAGGGACAGTTTCATCACAAATGAAAGGGGAAAAATTTATTATGTTTTGCATGAAGAAAAATGTGCCTGATTTCTAGATATGGCTATTTTTAGATCTGGTCTGGTTTTATTTGAAGGGTCTGAGGGCATCTGTTCTCACACTAATTAGAATAGAAGGTTACAGCTGATTGATTTTAAAATTCAGTTGATTGATTGATTTATTCATTGTCTTTGTGTCACCCAATCATGACGCATTACCATGACTGATTAAAACTTTTGTCCTATCTCTCTCTATCTATCTATCTCTCTCTCTCTCTCTCTCTCTATCTCTCTATCTCTATCTATCTCTCTATCTATCTCTATCTCTCTCTATCTCTCTATCTCTATCTCTATCTCTCTCTCTCTCTATCTCTATCTCTCTATCTCTCTCTCTCTCTATTCTATCTCTCTCTCTCTCTCTCTCTCTCTCTCTATCTCTCTCTCTCTCTCTCTCTCTCTGTGCAGTTCAAGCGGATGTTGAACAGGGAGTTAACGCACCTGTCTGAGATGAGCAGATCTGGTAACCAGGTCTCCGAGTACATCTCCAACACATTTTTAGGTAAACCATCAATCACAAAACATTCACACATTTGACTTGTGAGTGTTATGGTGAGGTTTGGAGCTCCAGCTCGCGTTCACGCTCTCCTCCCCATTGTTTCTCCAGACAAACAGCACGATGTGGAAATGCCCTCCCCGCAGACGCAGAAGGAGAAGGAGAAGAAGAAAAAGCCCATGTGTCAGATCAGCGGGGTGAAAAAACTCATGCACAGCACCAGCCTCACCAATTCCAACATCCCTCGCTTCGGGGTCAAGACGGAAACGGAAGACTCCTTAGCCAAGGTGAGCGGCGGTGATGCAGGACAGGCTTATTTGTGCTGGAGAGCTGCTTCAAACTCGGACAGAACCTCAATCATCTCAACTGAATGCTGATTGGATCTGATCAGAGACTCTTGTGGACCTTGACGAAAGGTCATTGGAGCTTTTCAGTCCGATGACGTAGATGGATGACATGCAATTGGAAAGATTTTGTACCCTGCTGAAAAGAGCAGCTTGGAGCAGCTTGAGTTTCCATGCTAGTTAGTGTCATGCTGTTCACCAGGAAGCTTGTCGACCGGCAGGTTTTTTAACCGAGAGCATATTGCTGGTTAAGCTAGTATTCATCAACACATTGATTGATTGATGAATGCATTCAGAAACACAACAAGCGGTGCTCTTTTCAGCAGGTCAATTTCCTCAAATGCATTGGTTATTTATAAAACGAGTCCTGAATCATTCCAGAACATTTTGTGGCTGTTTTAAAAGCCAAACCAACATTTATTATATTTATGCGTGTTGCAAATGGGTTTAGTCAAGTCACATTCATTTATATAGCACTTTATAATATACAAATTGTTTCAAAGCAGCTTCCCAGTAATAAACAAGAAAATAACAGTATTAGTTCTTCATTTATGAAACAAATACAAATGCAGCTGTACAGCAACCCTAAAAAAAGACAATAGTGTCATTATTCAGCTCAGTTTAGTTCAATATTGATTCAGTAACTGAATGCTGCAAAGCTATGAAGGAAACAGTATAGAAACTATAAAGCAGCTCTAGTGAAGACAATAGTGTTGTTATTCAGTTCAGTTTAGTTCAGTATTGATCCAAAACAGTGTCAGTGTTGCAGAGATCATCAATTATGAAGCAAACTCAATTCAGCTATAAAGCGGCTCTACAGAACAACCATTATTCAACTCAATTTAGTTCAGCGTTGATTTTTAGTTTATAATAGTGTAAGGTTTATGAAATTTTGAAACAAGTTTAATTCAGCTATGAGCAGCTCTACTGAAGACAACCGTCATTTATAGTGATGCACTGAAAGAAAAATTCTGGGCCAAAAATGATTTTTTAAAACTTAATTTAAAATAGGTTCTGCGTAATTGTATTAATATTAATTATTAATGCACTGAAATTTTTTTTTTTAAAAATTCTGGGCCAAAAATGATTTTTTAAAACTTAATTTAAAATAGGTTCTGCGTAATTGTATTAATATTAATTATTAATGCACTGAAATTTTTTTTTTTTTTTTTCAACCGAAATTGAAATTGGAGTTTTTTTTATTTAGCAGAAAACTGAAGCTGAAAATAAATTGTATTTATCAATTTTATTTAATAATAAATAAGTTGTAAAAACATTTAAATTGCACATAAAGAGCTTTTGTCAACTTTTCAATAACAGAATTTATGTTTTATGTTTTTAGCAAACCGAAAATTGCTATTTCGGCCAAAAAGTTTTGGTTGTCAAAATTTTGGTACTCCAAATTTTTTTTGGAGTGAAGTGGCATCACACACAATGGGACTGTCTAATGATTGGCTGCTGTGTTTCAGGAACTGGAGGACATAAACAAATGGGGCCTTAATGTTTTTAAAGTCACAGAGTTTTCAGGCAACAGGCCTTTAACAGTGATGATGTACACTATATTTCAGGTGAGCCCAAACATTCACCACTCACCTTTATTTACTTAACTAATAAAAGTCTTACTGTGCACAGTTCATCAGTGTTTTCATAACTTTCTTCACCTCTGATGTAACAGATGTCTGATGGACAGGGAAAAACAGTTTTAACCAATAATATCATAGCCTACTTTATATGATCCAATGAAATCCTGCATTATTTAACATGCTGTGTCACATGATGTTAAATGTGTTGCAAATGCATTTTCTTTCTGTTTTTCTCTCCCACAGGAAAGGGATTTACTCAAAACATTTAAAATTCCCTTGGACACTTTCATAACGTACCTGATGACCTTAGAAGACCATTATCATGCTGATGTTGCGTATCACAATAACATTCATGCTGCTGACGTCACCCAGTCCACACACGTGCTGCTCTCCACGCCTGCTCTGGAGGTGAGAGATGCCGTCAAAACAAGGCTTTCCTTGCCGTTTTAAAAATAAATGAGAACATTTGTGACCCTGGACCACAAAACCAGTTTTAAGTGTCAATTTTTCGAAACTGAGATTTATACATCATCTGAAAGCTGAATAAATAAGCTCTCCATTGATGTATGGTTTGTTAGTGGAACATGATCTTTACTTGATATCCTAATGATTTTTGGCATGAAAGAAAAATCGATAATTTTGACCCATACAATGTATTTTTGGCTATTGCTACAAATATACCTCAGCGACTTAAGACTGGTTTTGTGCTCCAGGGTCACATTTATGGAATAGGCGGTGGAAAATGGACACGCAACAGCTAAATTATGAGTTTTTTGATGCAACTAACCTTGACTAAGGTTATAAGTCGATTACAGGTAAAAAGCGTAGCATATGAGCCATTTAATTCACATTTGATTCAATATGACCTGGTGTGCTACTTGCTGGATTTCTAAAAAGGTTATGTGGTGAAGATAATGTCTGCTCTCACTCACCATACATCCACATGTTGTTCTCTTTCAGGCGGTTTTCACAGACCTTGAAATTCTCTCTGCCATTTTCGCCAGTGCTATTCACGACGTAGACCACCCGGGTGTCTCCAACCAGTTCCTTATTAACACCAGTAAGTGTGCTTTAGGAATATATGGTTTATTCAAAGCATATGATAACTAATACTAAAATTAACAAAACATTTGTGATGTGTTTGGTTGTTATTGGATTATGCCATAGAAAATAATAATAATAGTAAAGCTTTTAATTTTAGATGATTAAAAACATATGTCTGCAGTCATGCTTTTGGTGTAAATTTTTTAAGTTTAATTACCTAATTATTAAAATTTGGTTAAAAAAAATATATATAATTATAAAATGTGTAAACAACATAGTCTCATTAAGTGTGAAAATCTAATCCTCTATTATAATTATTTAAATTTCTATAATGTAATTATTGAAATTTACAAATATTATCTCATCGTTTAAATGTATGAATACAGTAATCTCAATTTTAATTGTCTAAATATAAGAATTTCTTTATTTACATTTCTATAATCTAATTATTTAAATGTACAAATATAATTATCTTATTATTTAAATGAATAAATCTAATAATCTTATTATTTAAATGTACAAATAAAATAAACTAATTTAAATGTGTAAATATAATAACCTAATTGTTTAAATGCATTAGTAATCTCTTTATTTAAATGTCTAAACATAGCAATCTAATTATGTAAATTTATAAATATAGTCTGATTATTTACATTTTTAAATATAATAATCCAATTACTTAAATGTCTAACTATAATAATGTAATTATGTAAATTTCAGTTTGGTGCAAAATTTGGTTAAAAAAAATTAATAGTTATGAAAGTTATGATGACTATTGTAATTAAGCCATAAGGTATGAAAGGCTTTGCCTTACTGGCTTTATAAAACTGTTACTAAATAATAATTTATATATATATATATATATATATTAAGAGCACAAATTTTAATTACAACATTATTTTAAGAAAATTCATCAAGCTATTCTTCCTCTAAAAGATCTAAAACTAGAATGCATTATTTGACCAATCAGCATCCATCCAATATATGTATTTAAACACCTAATAATGCCCTGAATGGCAGCTCAGGTTTGTATTGTAATGGACGGATCTATAAATTCAGTGAAATGGTTCAGAGCAGATCACTCAATCCCATCAGCTCAGAGACACAGACCAGCACACATCTGTCCTCAAATCCACGCAACCGCCGCTTACATAACTTTATTTTGTCATAAGCAGCACTGATGCGCCGATAGGACGGTTAAATGCGACTCAGGCCTCATGGTATTGTGTGTCTGTCTCTCCTGCGTCACGCTGTAATCTCTCACAGACAGTGATGGAGTCCTGCTGCTGTGCTGACACAACTGTTTGTCACGCTCATCTACAGATTAGCACAAGGTCACAAAGTTTGCCATGTTTTCTTCATGTTTGCAGACTCGGAGTTAGCCCTCATGTACAATGACTCGTCGGTGCTGGAAAACCATCATCTGGCAGTGGGCTTCAAACTCCTGCAGGAGGAGAACTGTGACATCTTCCAGAACCTGACCAAAAAACAGAGACAATCGCTGCGCAAGATGCCTTCATGACAACTGTGAGGGAGGTGAATTTTTTTATAACTCATCCGTTTATATTATATTAAGCCTTAAAGTTCTGCATAATTAAGGGCATGGCCACTTGAGTGACAGGTGGATTGCCGCTGCTGTCACCACCGTCGAGCTAGGTGGGAGTGGTTTCAACAAACATTTCCCGCCTCTTTGCCCATTTTCGATTATCCGGGAGTGACGCGCTGCCAAGATGTCGACAGCCGGCTCCGCCCACTTTGAGCTTCAAAAACGCTCTCCAGAAACCTACGGATGAAGTCACGGACACTACGTCCATGTTTTTATACAGTCTATGGTTTTGACGTAAACAAAATCTTCCCCGCATTGATTGTTCTCTTTTTCTGCAATATTTTGAATGAACAACGCAGCAGTGCCACATCTAGTGGGTTCAACTGGATAGGCTAACAAAAGCATTAAAACGCAATGACACTTACATCGTCGTCGCATTTCGTGCGCCACTGATAAGGCTGCCTGATGCACACACCTAAAATTCGAATGCAATGTTTTTGCATTCGAATGTGGATTTTTATTTTAAATTCGACGAATAGAATACAGTAGGCAGCCCTACTGTAAACTGTGGCTCTGTCAAAACATTGCTGAGTTTGTTCGAGCGGCCCAACACAGCCACTTCTGGCTCAGCCAATGGCGTGAATTGGGGGGCGGGACTGTGTGTTTTGTTGACCAGTGGTGTTTAAGAAACCCATTTGATTGTTATCATTTATTTGTTTAATCACAGTACTTTGGAAATTCATAGAACTTCTAAAACTACATAGTGAGATATTAAATAATATTTATCAGAATTACTTTCAAATCAGCTTTTTTTAAGACCTTTTTTTTCATTGTTCATAAATGTAAAAAGCTACATTTGACACTTTAAAAAAAAAACTTTTTTCTACATTTGACACATTATTTAAATTGTAAATTAAGAATACATTGGACATTCATAGAACTTCATAAACTTCAATGATTTAAATAATAAATAATTTTATAAAGAAGAGCGTTTTGTTTTATTTTATTCATGCAGATTTGTTTATATACATTTCTCAGCTGCATCTGATACACATGATTTAAATGGTAAATTAAGTAGAAACTATAAATTCATAGAACTTCAATAACTATCTAATTGGATAAAGTCATTTTTATTATTTATTTTTATTATGATACTGATTTGTTGTAAATATAAGATTATATTATATTAATTAATATATAATTTTTTAATAAGTTTGGTATTCAATGTTTTAATTATTTTTATTTGTAAATATTAGATGTAATTTTCTCAGCTCCATCTGACTCATTTTACATGAATTAAAGTGTAAATTAAGAATTAATTGGAAACTTATAGAACTTAACTGTCTAATGTGATACTCATTTGACTCATTTTACGTGATTTAAATGCTAAATTATGCAGAAATTGTAAATTCATAGAACTTCAATAATGATCTAATGGGATATTACATAAGTTTAACATTTTAACCTTAGTTTAACAATTTAATACTTTACCTCATTAAAAAAAAAAATTTATTAATTTTTTTTATTATGATACTGATTTGTTGTACATAAAGGATGACATTGAAATTGTAAAATAAGCTGAAATTATAACTTGTTAATTCATAGAATTTCAATAACTATCTAATGTTATATTAAATAAGATTAACATTTTAAACTTAGTTTAACATTTTAATACTTTACATCATTTACGATTTTTTTTTTTTTATGATACTGATTTGTTTTAATTATATGATGTAATTTTCTCAGCTGCATCTGACACATACCGTATTTAAATTGTAATTTAACACTGAATTTTCAGTTGAAGCGTGTGTTGATGTTCCTCAGGTGCTTCAGAACATGGTTCACTGTGCAGATCTCAGTAACCCTACCAAACCCCTGCAGCTGTACAGACAGTGGACGGACCGCATCATGGAGGAGTTCTTCAGTCAGGGCGACAGAGAGAGAGAGCGAGGGATGGAGATCAGCCCCATGTGTGACAAACACAACGCCTCTGTAGAGAAGTCTCAGGTAGGCTCATCAATTCCAAAAGGAACTATGGAAGCCTGTTTCTACCTCAGAGTCAAAATATTTATTTTACATTTTATCTCACAATTAACTGTTTAATTAATTGTGAGATAAAGTGTAAAATAAAAAAATAATGTTGCATTAGTTTTTGTATGTATATATATATATATATGTGTGTGTATATATATATATATATATATCTTTTTTTTTTTTTCTGATTAGCTTCAATTTATTTTTATTTTAGTTTTTGCACTCTAACTTCCATTTTTTTATTTATATTTTTGTATACATTTTTTATACAGATATAATATATAATATACAGATATTTTTCATAGATATATTTTGTATTTATTATTTTTATTGCCAAGGCAACATTTCTATTTTTTCATCTAATATTTCTATTTTATTTCAGCTTTATTATTAATGAAAATGATTTTTAATCATTTCAGTTTAAGTTAATTAATTTATTTTCAAATCAGTATTTTTATTAACTAAAACTGAAATGATTAAAAATCATTTTATAATCAATAATAATAAATCTGAAATAAAATAGAAATATTAGAATTTTTTTAACCTAAAGAAAAGCAAAATTAGAAATGTTGCTTTGGCAACTAATTGAAAGAAGTTCAAGAAATAAAACTTAATTTATTTATTTTCAAATCAGTATTTTTATTAAGTTTTATTTCTTGAACTTCTTTCAATTAGTTGCCAAAGCAACATTTCTAATTTTGCTTTTCTTTAGGTTAAAAAAATTCTAATATTTCTATTTTATTTCAGCTTTATTATTATTGATTATAAAATGATTTTTAATCATTTCAGTTTTAGTTAATAAAAATACTGATTTGAAAATAAATAAATAATTCAATTTTATTTCTTCAACTTATTTCAAAGCAACATTTCTAATTGTGCTTTTCTTTAGGTTAAAAAATTCTAATATTTCTATTTTATTTCAGCTTTATTTCAATTAATGAAAATCTTCTAGTTAACAATGAAAACACTGCTTTGTCAATGAAAAAATAATTTAAACTGCAAATACAGTATTCTATTTAGCAATTAATACTATAGAAATATGAATAAAATTAAATCAATCATCAACATTCCTCAATTTCTCGTTTGTATGCGAGTGTAATTCACACGGCCGTCTCTGTGTCTCCAGGTGGGCTTCATTGACTACATCGTGCACCCGCTGTGGGAGACGTGGGCCGACCTTGTACACCCGGACGCCCAGGACATCCTGGACACGTTAGAGGACAACAGAGAGTGGTACCAGAGCACCATCCCACAGAGCCCGTCGCCCGCTCCCGACCAGCCCGAGGAGGGCAGCCGCTCCGCCGGAGCAGACAAGTTCCAGTTTGAACTGACGCTGGAGGAGGACGGAGAATCGGACACGGAGAAAGACAGCGGCAGCCAGGCAGAGGAGGAGGAGGAGGAGGATGAAGAAGAGGAGGAGGACAACAGCTGTAGTGATTCTAAAACTCTCATCACACAGGACTCGGAATCCACAGAGATTCCAGAGGCGGAGGAGGGAATTTCAGAGGAGGTTTCCACGGAACCCAGCATGGTGGAGGAGGAGGAGGAAGAAGAGGAGGACGATGAAGAAGACGAGGAGGAGCAGCCGGCAGACACGTAGCAGCGCGTCTGGACGGCCCAAACTCGCTGCCACGATGGCAAAAAATGCAAGTATTTAATAACAGACAATGAAATTGAGTTCCAAAGTGCACGTTGCACTCCGAGACCTCGGCCACTCCTCTCTCTTTCTCTTTTCCGTCTCTCTACGAGCTGCCTGGAGACGAGAGGACACTAAGACTTAGGTAGGTTGTCGTTTTATTTGCACTCAGGAATAATATTTAGTCCTCTGTTTTTTCAATCTTGCTTTTGTTTGCCTTCGCCCTCCTCCTCCTCCTCCTCCTCTGTGATTCTCTGTGGACGACAGTGAGGAAATTTCCCGCACAAAGCAATGGGAGGAAAGACGTCAGCGGGATCGACGCAGGAACGCGTCTCCTTGGATTTCAAAGAGACCTTATTTTCTACGTTTTAAGTCTTCCTAAACTTTTGACTGAGAAAAATGTCACAAAAGACAAAAAAACAAACAGCCCAGCGCTGTCATGGCCTCTTCAATGATTTTGTACGGTATACATACAGATTTTTACATAGTTACTTTTTAAATAACAAAACAGCAGCTCTTGTGTTTTTGAGGAAACTTTGCGCGAAGGGTAACTTGCAAGTACGCGACGTGGGTCGTGTGTTCGCCACCATATACACATCAGAAGCTGTATTTACGTTGTTTTTTACTTCGTCAAACACTTTACCTCTAGTGAGTCTCTTAATACACCTACAGATGCTTGATGTGTGTTCAACTCATTTCTGGGGGGGGTTCTGTCTTGTTTCGGAGCAGTTAGTTCAGCTACACTGCACTTGAAGCCTGTAATATATATATATATATATATATAAAAGAATGAATGTGTATTAATATTAATGTGTTATCATGTATATTTGATGTATATTTTAATATATTTATGTTATATATATATATATATATATATATTCTTTATGCTTTAATATTAATGCGGATAATACAAATATTCATATACATTACAGGCACCAAGTAACGTGTTACCAAACATATGCCTTTAAGAACTTTATTATTGACTTTAGTCCTTTAATCACCAATCAAAAACTTTTTCTTTTTCTTTTTGGTTTTAAAGCAGTTCAGACTGACACAAACATCCTGTTCGGGCTTTGTAACTCCAGGTCAAGCTAAACTTCTTTCATGGCAACATCCTGTTATGGGTGTATCAGACATTCAGCCTCAAACCATTTATTCGAAGCACTTCTGTTAAGAGGACATCTGGAGATTTTATAGCATGTGAGACTCGTCAAAATTTTCGTTCCTTTTACCTTTTTCTTTTTCATCTGCAGGATCTCACACACCGAGCGCCTGAAACTAAAACCACAAACTCCCAAAAAACCACATCAGCGTGTAGGTCAGAGTATTTGTTGTACAATGCCTTTCACAATCACCTCTGTTTCCCCATCCCTCGTGTTTCATTAGAGATCTTCTCTTAGGGCTAGATGCAGTTTAGCGTCAAAATCCACATTCTCATTTCACACCAAAACTTCCCTCCCGCTCCGGACATGCACTATGCGACACGTGGCTTTTAATAAGGACTTATTTTTATCTGTATATGGTTTTAATTTATTGTTTGGCTTCTGTTTGAAAGCAGTACTGTAGACCATCAACTGTAGCATAGAGCGACTTGCAAGTTACTAGCCTCCTGTTTTTGGTCGTGTACATAGAACAAACTTTTCCAAATCTGTAGTTAATATAATACGCTCACAGAAACTTGAAACCTGGCTCGAGTAGTACTGAGTTTTATTTAAGTTTGTGCCATGATATTCTTTCCTCACCAGATGACCTTGCCTTATTATAGATCTTCTTTTTTCACTGTTTACAACGATGTATTTATTTTGCTGTATATATTGTAATGTTTGTTGTAAATGATGACAGATTCTAAACTTCATCTCAGATGGAGTTGCTCTATTTGGTAAACTCTTGTTGAGAGAATGTTTATTATTATAAATATTATCCAATGTAAAAACAAAAACAAAATGATGATACTACTAATAATAATATTCTGTATAAAAATGAGACGGTCACTTTTAAACGTGTGTTTCTGGAGATCTGGGGAAAGCCAAACCATTTGAGACGAGTCGCCACTGGCGTTTGGCCCCAGGGCTGTGCCTTAATTTAAAAACTCTCTTTATTTGTGTGTCCGTTTCGTCTCTTTACGTGTTTCGGAGAACGATGTCTGCTGCCAGGGTATCAGGGCATCTTATGCGCTGCATTTAAAATGAAAGCTTAGGACGCCTTGGGTTACTACTATTCATTTGTAGGTCTAAAAAAGTGGCACATAGCGAATGCAATAGTCCCGGGACAGTTCGGTTTGCCCTAGAGGTGCTTGGCTGCTTGTGATCTTCTACTTTCATGCTGTTCTTTAACTTCGTTCAGGTACCGTCTGCTACCTTCATCTCATCCAGCCTTGTAGATGTGCTTGTGCACTAAACTGAACGAGTCCTAGAGTTTCAGATGTTAAACAAGCATACTTTCTGACACGCGTACTGTAGATTAGCAGCCCTGGACCAAAGCCAATCGTGGCTTATTATTAATTATTACTGGTATTTTTTCAATGTCATTAAAGGGATACTTTAACATTTTATTCATAAGTTCTGCTGATTAAAAACTGAAACACTTCTTTCAGTCTCTTATAGTCTTTTGCCGGTGTTGTGCCCAGTTTCGACCCCTGCCAAATTATTACCCCCTCTCGTTGAAATTGGGGTAGTAAACTGGCGGGGGTCAGAATTGGGCACAACACCGGTACTGTAGATCCATCTCCAATCGGTTTCAAGTCCATAAACTACAAGAAAAAAAACATTTTATATGCAACAAATGAAATAAAAGCATGGGTTGATTCCACACGTGTCACATGTTTGTATTTGTCGCAGATATGAAGCATGAGATGTCTTGGGTAGCTGAAGAACATGATTTGGTTTGGTTGCTTAATATCCTGATGAACGACAACGTCATGAAGGGCCGGAGCCAACACTTACCCTAATTAAACACACCTGATCCAGAAGTCCTTCAGGCTTATTTGAAAACTACATGCTATGTGTGTTGGAACAAAACTCTGCGGGGCTCCGGCCCTCCAGGAATTGAGTTTGACACCCCTGCTTTAATTAAAGGTTTGCTCAAATTTTCGTTCCAAAGAGGACTCTTGCATCAAATACACTCGGCATGTGCTATTTTATGTACTAGCAAAGAGTATAGAATACCTTATATATATATATATATAGAATATGCCTTAAAGGAACTTTGGTACTAGACACATAGATAACCATGTGAACCGTAGGATGTGTGAAATCAGTCATGCTAAAGCATTTTTAAGAATATAAAATGGACAGTTTTAATTGGTCTAAAATATAAGTAAATATAGTCAATAATATCCTTTAGAAAGCACATTTATCTGAAAAGGAAGAGCAGCGCCCTCAGTCGAATCTAAAGTAAAATTGTAGTTCTGCTTCCACCCGGTGGCCACACAGAGAAACAGCTGCATATTAACTCGTTTCTAAGCGACTGATAAAAAGCAATAGTAAATATATTCTTTTTGAGATTTATCATGTCTCAATTTATGTCCACTCTTACTTATCAAACTTTTTTTTTTGTCGTCACTTCATCTAAAATTATTCAGTTCATTAATAGGTGCCAGGAAAAATAAATCTTCATGTACTCATTTATTTCTGGTCCTTCAAATAAAATCATTAGATATTTAAATAGTGTGCCAAGTACATTACTTGGTGTATTATTCTCAGAAGTTCAATTAAAATAATAATAATAATAGAGATCGTTGCATAAATAATGTTTTTTATACTTACACCAATAAATAAATGACACATTTATCCATATCCTATATTACACACCCTTAAAACGTTTCCAAATGAAACGAGTATCTTCTATATGTGATAAAGGTAATGCTGTGGCGATAATATTGGCGACCTTCGTACTTTTACAACTTAATTTATGCATGGACATCAAGGAGGATATAAAACTATTGTATGCCTGCCATCGTTCATGTTAAAATGGCTTTAAAAAATACCTCATAAACATTTACCATGGTAATCTTTTCTGTCAAAACGCCACATTGACAATGTTAAAAAGAAATAAACATTAAAGGATTAGTTCACTTCCAGAAAAAAAATCTTGATAATTTACTCACCCCCATGTCATCCAAGATGTTCATGTCTTTCTGTCTTCAGTCGCAAAGAAATTAAGGTTTCTGAGGAAAACATTCCAGGATTTTTCTCCATATAATGGACTTCAATGGGGACCAAAGGGTTGAAGGTCCAAATTGTAGTTTCAGTGCAGCTTCAAAGAGCTCTACACCATCCCAGCCGAGGAATAAGGCTCCTATCTAGTGAAACCATCAGTCATTTTCTAAAAAAACAAATGTATATACTTTTTAACCACAATTGCTCATCTTGCACTTACATAATCCCGTTGGAAAGGTCAGCGCGGTTAGCTCTTCGTCTGTATACTCCGGTTCAGAAAGGTTGGGTAGGGAGAAAAACTCCATCTCATTTTCTCATTTTCCGACATCGTTGTTTTACCTTCTTTTTGTAAAGGGTATTTGACTTTCTTTGCATGTTCGCTTTGTAAACACTGTGTCGGTACTTCCTCCTACATCACGTGTGACCTTTCCAACGTGATTACATAACGCGTGAAGTCCAGCTAGTGCAAGACAAACATTTTTGGTTAAAAAGCATATAAATGTTTATTTTTATTTATTTTATTTTAGAAAATGACCGATCGTTTCACTAGATAAGAGCCTTGTTCCTCGGCTGGGATGGTGTAGAGCTCTTTGAAGCTGCACTGAAACTACAATTTGGACCTTCAGCCCCTTGTTACCCATTGAAGTCCATTATATGGAGAACAATCCTGGAATGTTTTCCTCAGAAACCTTCATTTCTTTGCGACTGAAGACAGAAAGACATGGACATCTTGGATGAGATCGGGGTGAGTAAATTATCAGGACATTTTTATTCTGGAAGTGAACTAATCCTTTAAAATCATAGAGTCAAAAATATGTTTGCATGATAGCCTATATAAAACATGCGCGATGTGTGATAAATTAATCACTGATTAAACTTCCTTCCAGAAAGCTCTCTTAAATCTAACCGATATGTAAAATAAATAAAAAAAATAAAAACACTATTGCCTTCGAAATCTCATGAAAATTATGCCAAATTTTGACTGATTTCAGTGCTGACTACATCCGGAAATTATCATGGTGAAGTACTGAAAACTCAAGTGATTCGTGATTTTTGTGTTTAGGATAAAGATGTCACAGTCAAGTTGCGCTCAGTACAAACATTAGGAGAGCAACATTGATGAAATGAATGTGCTTTATCGTGCTTGTCATTACCCTGTACTTCCGGCAGGTGGCAGTGAGACCAAAACAACGCAATTAAAACTGTCCTTTAGAGTGGAGATGGTCCTGACTCATTCACCGTCGTGACAAGAAATCACACAAACGTTTAGGATAAAGATGTCACAGTCAAGTTGCGCTCAGTACAAACATTAGGAGAGCAACATTGATGAAATGAATGTGCTTTATCATGCTTGTCATTACCCTGTACTTCCGGCAGGTGGCAGTGAGACCAAAACAACGCAATTAAAACTGACCTTTAGAGTGGAGATGGTCCTGACACATTCACCGTCGTGACAAGAAATCACACAAACGTACTAACATAAGTTGAACTCTGAGAGGGGAAATAAAGACTAAAATATATTTTCACTTTGTATTAATCAAGATCACTGCTCAAGCGCATAAAGATGCCGTGTCACAATGTACATGTTACTTT